GGGGGGGGGGAGTGATAAAAGCAGGCCGCGGGTCGAGCCTCGGCCTCGCGTAGCGGCGCCAACCGAGGCGAGGCGCGAGAAGGCGGGCGGGATTCTTAACGGCAGCGCGGGGTCTGGGCCGGCTACTTTCCGCCCGGCACTTCGTTTCCAAACTGGCTTAGTTTCACTTGGATTGCCGTTATCGCGGCCTTTTAGGGCTGGAGCGCAGAAGGATTTAATTTCTCAGGCTGTAGGGGTGAAAAAAGGGGTATTTATTTATTTATTTTATTTATTTGATTTGCCAATTGTTTACAAGATAATAAGTATAAATGTATACATAGTTGTGAATACATGAAATGGTTACATATAAGAAAAATAAAAGAATAGGAGAAACAATAGGACAGGGACGGTAGGCACGTTGGTGCGCTTATGCACGCCCCATTCCGGGATAAATTCCAGGGTGCCAGCTGTCTTTGAAACCTGAAGTAGCTGAGCTGGTTCTGATTATTATTGGTTATTGTTGGATGGGAGACCACCAGGAGATCCCAGGCCCAAGCTCACTTCAGGAGACTCCCTCAAAAATGGAGCTCCGGTAGAAGAAGCTTCTCTTTTTTAGATTAAATTGAGAGGAAAGTCAATAATAATGGAAAGTGTTGGAGATTGGAGCCCTCATTTTTATGAAAACAGACCAGGAGCTTGAAACTAGATCTGTTCCATTAATATTATGTTGAGAAAATACTGTTATTATATGATCACTACTAATGAACATTAGTAGTAGTAGTAGTAGTATTGCTCAAACTAACTGTAACCTGACAACACACTGTTTATCCAGACATTGAAATTGTTGCTCTTTCTTTTTATAGTAAAAAATATATATATTTGAAACTAGACCTGTTCCCTCAAAAATTCACAAACCGCAAAATAGTGCTAATTCTTGCAAGCAGAATCAGGTTGAATTTGGGTCATTTGATGTAGTTGCCCTTTATTCTGTCTTGATTGTATATTGGCTCTTTACAAGAGAGTAGAACTTTGGCCAAGAAGACCTTGGAATCTAAATTATTTGTGCATGGTTTTTTTTTCTCCCATCAGGTTTTGCTTTCCTTGATTACAACCTGGAGAATTTTTTTCTCTGTCTCCATATTAAGTTTGACATAAGTAGTGTGATCTGGTACTTTGTGAATAAGTTCACAGAGGCAAAAATGGTTGGATTTTGTTAACCCTCATTGGCCCAACATACCCA